AAAGTAGTTCTGTGCATCTCACCTGTTACCCTATTAATGATGACATCATCATAATTCTCTGGTGCGTCCACTGCACATAAAAATATGACTCAAAATATAATATAAAAAAATAAAATATAAGCAAAGCAGTATTATCTAACAATCTTGATTTTAGAGGAATATTTTTTAAAAGTTGCTAAAAAGTAAAACACCTTTTTTGATATCAGCGTTCTGTCCGCTCGTCATGACATCATCATAGCTCTCAGGTGTGTCTTCTACAAATTCACACATTCATCACAGACACACATTCATTACATTCAGAACAAATCTGAAATATCTATCTTAAACATACTGTAATATTTTAATTTAAAAGTGTATTATATGCTGTTGTAGAGTAAGAGAGGGACACCTGTCTCACGATCTGCTTTCAGTCCATCAGTGATGACGTCATCATAGTATCCCGGTGTGATTTCCTTCAGCATCTCTTCTGCATCAACACACAACATGTTTGGATACAAAAGCCAAAATATCTTCTTGTTGCAGATCATGAGAATTTATTAAATATTTGGTAATGAATCATGTGATCAATTAGAAAAGTCTCTGACCTTTTAGGCCACTGACATTGGTGACATCATCATAATATGCAGTCTTGAACTCTTTTGCTGAAAAAGGAGAGAAAACTGTTCATATATAATTGAGCAGCAGTATTTGAATAGTATTAAGTCATTGATCAAATATGTAATAGAATTTGATAATTACACTTATTTATTTAGGTGATTTATTTAAAAAGGATTTGAGTGTAATGTGGAGTGAATATGTGTGTGACGAGTGGGGGCGGGGCCGAGAGCCGTGGGAACGGAGTGAGGCCGGTGGAGTAATTGATAATGAGCGACACAAAATAAAATCCAGGCCTGGTCCTCTCTCGTCTTTCACTGTCGTAGCTCCTCCTTTTATCCTTCCGGAGCTCCTCCTTGGGACTCGAGACCGGTGAGTGGTGCAGGTGTCGCTCACTATCAATTACTCCATCGGCCTCGCTCCGTTCCCACTCGTCACAATGTGCTTCAGCTCTCTAACCTGAGAGAAGCTCATCAGCATCTTCATACCCAGAATGCAGTTCTTCAGAGATGAGACTCCCTGTTAAAGAAGAGCAGAGCAGTCAGAAACATGTTCATCATTACAAACAGACTGAATCCTCATTTCCTTTGCATCATAAATCATTGTGTTCGTGACAACACAACAAATTACTTTATTACTTAAAACAGTTTCTTTATTATTTAAAGCATTCAAGACATAAATTCTTATGGTGTTTAGGCCTATTAGCAAACACACATGAACCCATTCCTCACTGCCTTCCAGAAATACACACAGGAAGAAACAAACACCTACTCACAGACACACCTGCACCTACTGTACATGTGCAATCTTATGAGCCCCTGCTTATGTCGCTCTAAAAATACTCACAGGAAGAGAGACACACACACACACACACACACACACACACACACACACACATGCACCTGCAGCACTGTGGTTTTCTGTCAGGAATTCTGTGGTTTGAAGCAGGAGGTTTAACAGGACTAATAATAGATGAACATCATCTGTCTGACAGACTCTTATAATTTTATTAAATGAAATTGATGGCTCATGTCTCCCCCCTCTGAGTGAAGTGATTGTGTCTGTGCTGAATCTCCTCATAAACGGCCTCAGTCGTCGTCCTGTGTCTCCTCTTAGAGAGAGCTGTGAGTGTAGAC